AATAAGCCAGTTTACAACCATAAATCCCATTTTCTCGTGCAAGTGATGGGCTTGCAATTGAGTTCAAATCCTACCCTATCCGATTACAATTAAATTCAAAACTGAAATTTAAAATTCAAATTCAAGCTGTTAAGAATAAATTTTAACTGATTCTTAATAATCTAACAGAAAGAACTTATCTTGCACAATCAGATATTCACTTCTCACGATAGATATGCTGACTGACATTTACATTTTTAAGAACTTGTTTCAATATCCCCCAACATCCTGGTATTTGCTAATTCATTATATTTCCAATCGTTATATCATACACCCCAAAAAAATTTAAGGATTCTTCTGCCTCCAGCCCTCAATCTTACACATTCTAACAAGATTAGTAATTTGGATAACATTAAAAGCTATTTACAACAGCAACATTCTGTTTAAGAATGTCAGAAGCTAATTTTGACAGTCTCAAGGATACATGGCTCCAACCTCTAGGCTTTTATAAGGGCCGTCCTCTCTATTCTTGTGAGCATCTGGGAACCTATGATATTTTGTTAGATACGTGAATACATTTTCCTCACGGATTTGCACCCTTTGGTGCCTGTGAAAAGATATTTTTATTTCGAAAAGAAAATCTGTTTAAGAATATTGATGTTGCATGAACTCGTCACTGCCACCATAAGTACCCATTCTCCCACACTGCATATTTTGCCATTAGCCACATGGCAAAAAATATCTTTGGGCCTTGGTAAGAAATTCATATTTAAATAAAAAAAATGAAGCTACTCTGCCTTCTACTATTGCTGTCCCACAAATACTGAAGTTGCAAAACTTCTTCAGTTCAGAACCAAGCAATCGCTCAAATTTTATTGCAAATCAAATTTCATCAAAAGCAAAGTTAACCAGCACTTTCAGAGAGGTCTATCTACAGCATATTCCAAATATACCAAAAGCTGAAGTAAAAAAGGCATCTAGGCAATTATTTGCCGTATCTCCAGAGTGATTCAACTTCCCATCATGCAAATTGTTATCATTTAATCGAAGCACAAGTATTGCCAAGGAACTAGGGATTATGCTGACTAATGTTATGGAAATAATTAAAGTTTCCCGATCTGCTGCTTGTATTGTGATGTACTGGTAACAGTTAAAAGTAAACAAATTCCATTGACATATAATAAGCTTGTAAAATTCTGCAAAAACTCAAAATATGGAATACATCAAAACGATACTCTTAACTCACCAAGCCACCCCCGTCATCGTCATCAAAATCTGCAGACTTTGCTGCAGTATCTTGTGCCCCAACATGATCTGTAACAGATGACACCTACACAGGCACAAACATATTCAATTCAGAAAAGTGATTAATCAATTCCTAAAACAAGGTCGTCAATTAAAAATGCATTATATTCTATAACTAAGCTCAACATAGCCATTATCTACCTTGATGGTTCGACCAGCAATCTCCAGCTTTCCATTTAAAGCACTTTGTGCTGCTTTCGCGTGTTCAAGCTGTGCAAACTGCGAAGGAAGGGGGAAAAGATATAAATAACAAATTAACAAGATTTTTAAACCACCAACTGTAGGTTATAACAGACCTGGACAAACCCAAAACCTTTACACTGTCCTGTCTCGAGGTCAAGAGGCAGTTGAACAAGCTCCACGTGACCAAATGGCTCAAAAATCTGAGCACGAAAAAAGTGTTAAAGATTTTATGATCCATATGCTCAGAAATCATCAATGTCTATATGAAATAATAACAGAAAAAACAAACATGGAGAAAGATAACATGCATAATCAAAACATTACTTTCTTCTTATTTACTTCTCATTTCTTTCTTCTCTCCTTCTCAAGACTTGGAGAGTTTCTTTTTCCTTTTACCAGTATTTGAGCTCAGGACAAACCCAAACACATAGAGGATAAATGCTGTGAGATGACTCAATTGGTTTATTACATTATATTAATGTAATAATGTAACAAACCTGCATACTTGCTTCTAACATCTAACTCTATGTTTGATTTGGTAAGCAAATCTTGGAAGTACAGAAAAACTTTCCAAGGTCAGTCCTCCTAATTTACAAAGTTGAAAAGACACAACTATCCACAGGGTTACAAAGAATCCAAGCCTTAAAAAAAGAATTTGCATTCAAGTTAAACCAAATGAAAAGTTTAGCCATTGTTTGGAACAAAATATAATGAAGCTTATTTCATTTCTAAATAAATTGAATAAGAAATTTACTTGCAAGCAAACTGGTATGTCTGAAACGAATAATTTCTAAATAAATATTTTGTGGAATCGATTCATTTGCTATTTTCGAGGATACCTGAATAATGATATAGAGATCATTTCAAATGTTTCCCTCCATATTCTTAGTTCGTTCTAAAGCCTATCAAAATTGATAAAATTTGAAATGTGCTTTGTTCATTTCTAGTCAAAAGTCATTTTCATTTGAAAGAATACTAAACATAAATGTCAGAATTTTCTAAATGAATTTCAGAAAAAGAAAAGTTTGCGGAACTCATTGGTCCTAAATATGATGCCAGTCACATTACCTGTCTAAGTTGAATTTCTGTCATGTTGAAATGTAGATTCCCAACATAGAGTTTTCTATCAACAGCTCCATATGGTCCAGCAGCACCTGCCCCAGCAGTGGTATTAGATTGAACTAGATTCTTTTCAGCTTCAGAAGGTTTAACCATTACAGGTTGTCCAAGCAGCAGTTGGCCAGACAGAGCTATTGCCATTGGAACAGACATAACATCATAAAATTCAATATACCTGCAATTGAAGAAGATCACATAATTAGATTTTCAGAACATGTCATGCAAAATAACCATCATACACTTACAAAGTACGTAGCAAGACATGTACGAAACAAAAACTCTAGTGCAGAGAGCTCAAGTTGACTTTCTTTGGTGGATCTGATAACTAATGTAATAGAAGATGTTAGATCATAATAATAAAAAACAAAAAAAATATATAGGATGTGGATGAATAATGGACAGAAAGATGATCAACGAGATACTATAGGAGCTGAAATTTTGAGTGTTGGCAACAAAAATTACTATGGCACACAAATGGTTGAGAAAAGAACCTAGTCAAAGCTCGGTCATCTCTACAATTCATCAAGATCAGAACATATAAAATTAGCACCCAAAACCTTAACAGAAGAAACTAAAAGCACTAAGAATGTCAAATATGACGTCTTCCATATACACCCCATCCTTACAACAGATAGGAGGATATGAAGGGGAGGGGAAAGAAAAACAGAAGGGCTATACTTATTCGTCTGAAGAAAAAGTTGCTATGAAGAAGAAACCAGACAGAGGAAATGAGGTATGAGCAGAGTGGCTAAAGCACTCTGGTTCACCTGTGTGGGTGATAGTTCAAACCCCACCAAGCTCCTAATGGGTTAATAAAATCTTATTCTCTCAAAAAGAATAAATCTGATAAAAGCAGGAGCCTGTATTAAATGAAGAACCAGAATAAGATGCACACGCTTAAAGACTGTCACCTTAAAAGATCACAGCAGAAGAAACATGGGAAAAGGAAAAATAACCAGGATTATGTCATCTACCTTGAGTACGCAGCATGAATTGATTAAACATGAGTGCAAGGTATTCCCATCATCCCTCATCATTATCGCATTGCTAGTGAATTTAAGAATACAGTTAAACTTAATTCTTGAAATCAAATATGCTAACAGTTACTTTATAGAGTACATGCATGTAACAGTAATATTATTATTTAATAAAAGATGCATACCCAACTCCTTTTGATCGTCTTGAATTCCTGTCCATAATCAATCGCACATCCCTCACCTGAAAATGGAACAAAGAAGATATTGTAAAATCAACAGCAGAAAAGACAAAGCTTACTTGTAATTCAACATTTACGCATGTTCACCTAATGGGTTCGTTTGCAAGATTGTATCGTTAAGCCCATATCTACAGTTTTAACTCACCCCACATATATAGAATGTTGAGACACATGAAACTCATTTTTTAGACTCGTAACTGAGGGCAGGAGCATATACTGCAACAGGAAGTAGAGTATCTCAATAATGTGCACTCATATCATTCCAAATCATCTAAAGGAACAATTGTAGTTATTTTTCGACAAGGGTGAAGAAATGAACCAAATCAGAGGCATAACACACCTATCAAAGCAGAGTTAAGATAATACTGCGATGAAGAAAAAGACTATCTCAATATCATTACACAATAATGCCCATGTTACACAAACTCTTCCAGACTCTTCGACAAATGGACCATCTACCAAAAAATAAATGAACTGAAACTCGAATTCCATATCCCACACTTTTCCCACGTCCAGGTAACATAGTGTAATGCATTATAAACTTAGAAATCCCAATGCTCTAACATTGTACATGGTATGACCAAATGAAATTGCACTAACCTTGCCCGCTTTAGAGAAGAATTCATAAACATCTCTCTCGGTCGCCTTTAGAGGCATCTGTCATTGAAAAATGAGAAGTAAATAAAAACAATTAGTAGAATGCAACATATAGCGTATCTGTTTGCAAGAGAGCAAACACACATCATATGCCTGAATGCCCAACATAAAATTAGAAATCTATAAACCATTCATGATTCACCTGGTAAGCAAAAACAGTTCTCTGGTCCCTCTCAGGATCAGCTTCAGGCTCCACTGTTTCTTTCTTGTCCTTAAATCGCCTGCCACCAAAAAAGGCTTCCAATTAACAAAGATACGCAGATCCTCATAGCATTTAAACTTTAAATCAAACGTAAAAAGATTTCCATATAGAACCTGAACCATTGCTCGCAAGTTACCACGTCAAATTACAAGCTGTGACAGATGATACAAGACTACAAAATTTAAAAAAAAAAAAAAAGGTTGCTACCAGGAAATAAGTTCTCAATAATGGAAAAGCAAAGAGAACAATGGCCTAATGACAGACTCAGATGACACGAATGATAGAGGAGCCATAAGTTATAAAGAAATGTGTCAACTAACTTCTAATTCGGAGTTAATAGCCAAGTAATACTAGTAAACATCAAAAGAGCACACACCAATAAACAGGGTAGACCTAGATTCACACTTTTTTGTTGTCAAGTACGCCAATGCTAATGACGTAGAATTAGGTGGGGAATCTGCAGAATTTTTGTGGTAAAGTTCGTATGGTTACTAATAGTGTATTGCAGAATTTTACAGTTTCTACGAAAGAAATGTCAAACTAAAATAAGTGGAACCGTATCAACAAGCACTGATGAATCTCAAAATCCCAAAACAAACAGGGAAAATGTTCCAATTTTTACCTGCTTTCTCTCATCTCGATGTCACGCTCTCTCTCTTTCATTTCTCTCTCTCTCTCACGTTCCTTCTCTTCCCGTCTAGACCGACTGCTGCTTCTTCTCTCCCTCTCTCTCTCCCTCTCCCTCTCCCTCTCCCTTTCTCTCTCCTTATCTCTCCTTTCCTTCTCCCTCTCCTTCTCTCTATCCCTCTCCCTCTCCCTCCTATCCTTATCTTTCTCCTTATCCCTCTCCCTTCTGTCCCTCTCCTTCTCTCTCTCCCTGCTACTCCTTTCCCGATCCCTATCTCTATCCTTCTCCCTCTCAGATTCCCTATCTCTATCCTTGTCCCTATCCCTATCCCTCTCCCTTTCGCGGTCTTTCTCTCTGCTACTTCGATGACGATCCCTATCCCGATCCCTCCTCCCTCCATTCTCGTCCTCGTCACCCCTAGATTTCTTGCTCCTGCTTCGTTCGTCTTCCTCGTCTTCCTCTCTCTCCCCATCTCTCTTTCTGTAACTCCTTTCGCTCTTCTCGGTGGCACTCTCCTTCTTGTTCTTCTTCGAAGTGTCTCGATCTTCTTGCTCCTCCACAGCTTTCTCCAGATATTCGTACTCGTCGAATTCCATTTGTGTTTGCTACAAATTAGCGCGATTTCAGGGCTATCTCCTAATTGAATAACCTTGAAGTAGTTATCGAAGCTCTGGATTTGAAGGAGAAGTAGCTTGGGAAAATTCTACTTATTCTAGGGGCGAACAACCAAACCCTAGGATTCGTTTTTTCGGTGTGGGGTTTTGTTGGGGTTTCATCGAAAGCAGTTCTTTTTTTCTTTAAGCGATGGGCTTAGGGCTGAAACCCGGGATCATGACTCAGTTTTCTTACCCAAGAATATAAATTAAGTCTGCATAATTATGATAGTTGGGTGTGTTTCGCAGCTGATCGAGTTTAAAAGTATTATTAAAATAATTACTAAATAAAAATATTTTTAGTCATATTTATTTAAAAAGAATTGTACTTCAAAAAAAAAACAGAACGTAAGTATTTAGTTAAAATAAGTATAAATTTACTAAAATTGTTATAAATACTGAATAACATAAAATATACTAAAATATAAATTTTATTTAAATAATTATTTATACAATAATATTAATACCTATATAAATAATATTATATATTATAATATATATACATAATTTTGCATATTATATATATAACATTTATATACTACATATATATCAATATATTTGTGCATATAATAAGTATATATAATACCAATTATATATTAGTGTTAATTAAAAACTTTCAATTTATTTATATAATGACCTTAAAAATAAAAATTAATACATTTTTTAATTTTAATTTTTTAATAACAATTATAACTATTTACGTAACAAAATAATAAGTAGTGGATAACAAATGATTAAAGAAAGCTGCTAGAAACAGATGGAGGCAACCTATAAGCAATAACTGGTGGGTAACAAAAAGTGGTGGATGGTAGATGCACACGAGTGACAGACAATAAAAGACGGCTAATGAAGATAGAAAGCGGCTATATGTGACCAATAAGTGGTAAAAAGTAATTAATAGGTTAAGGAATGACAAATGGTAGGTGATAGGCAACAAGTGACGGTTGCCGAAGGACAAGGGCCAGAGTTAGTAACGGATGGGCAACAAGCGACTGGTAAACAACAGCTAGTGGTAGAGGACACAAAGTTGGTAACAATGACCGATTGGCAGCATGGAATGACCAACTGATAAAGTATGACAGGTGATTGGTAACAAAAGGTCGAACGACAAACAACTAGTAGTACAAAAGTGACTAAAAATAATCATTTTATCTTTACTTATTGAACATGTTTTTGTGACTATATTTAAAAATCATTTTTAAAATGCTATTTAGAAAAATAATAATTATCTTATCCTTACTTCTTTAACTATGAGACTCAATTCTAATTATATAAATAAACAATGAGGTTACTATTTCTAATCTTCACGATATTTATTTATTCATTATTTTTCTCAGTATTCTTTAAATGCATAGGCTCTTTGATTGCTTTTTTTTTCATTTACTACTTATTTCAACTTACAAGGGTTTGAGAAGAATTATCACTAGCGTAAATTAAGTATTATTATAATCAAAATCAATATATTTATTTTAGGAGGAGCCAAAAACCAAAATGTTTGTCCCTTAAGTCACCATCTTTTATGAGAGGGGGTTTCTAAAATATAATTTGAACACATTTTTTCGTAACTATAATACAAAGTGAACAACACAATGAACTAGTATCAAAACAAGGGGAAATACACTTCCTTTTACCATTATGTCGATTTCCCTCTCATCTCCTTCTAATACAAAGATCTTGATAAATGCCTTTCTGTTTCTATCAATTTGCCTCTCAACTCATGCTTATTTTTCTCATTGCAAAGCTTTTTTCTTAACTCATGTAATTCTTTCTCCCTTAAAATCCTAACACGGTGTTTAGACTTAGGAAATTGGAGGGAAAAGGAAAGAAATGAAAGGCTCTTCATATTCAATTTTTTTTTTTTTTTGTCTTTGGATAAATTATTGTTGAAGGAAGACCATAATTTTTCTATTCGTCCAAAGTGGGAAAAATGTGGGAAAAAGAGTTTAAACTTATATTGTGTATGTACTACTTATTATTTTATGAATAAATGACATTATTGATCTTTTTTTTATAATAAATTATTTTTTCGTTTATGAAAATAAACTAAATAAAAGATTACAAGAATATTATTTTTTCTTTTACTCATTTATTTTTAAATTTGGCAAATAGATCTCTTTCCTTTTGTTTCCTAATTTTTACCCATATATAGCATACACTCTTCTCTTTATTCCCACTCTCTTAATTTAAAAAGTCACCAAGCTTTGCCCCGAATTTTGAAATGCTTATATGTTATATTGGCAACAAGAAAATCCAACTTGAGAGTAGGTTCCTAGCTGGGTACTTTTCATGACTCACAATACCGAACAGGTTTATAGATACCTCAAACATTATAAAACTTTGTTTTCTACAAAAATAAAAACATCAATGAACTTTTTATTCATCAAACATACTAAGGGTTCCCAAAAAGGCTACATAAATATGTAAATGTATTCTATATTTTAAACAAATTCCTCAAATGCAATTGGATCCTATTAATTACTTTTCATCATCACAATGTATTTAAAAGTATTGTTACCAATACAAATACTGTGTAATATATCCTTTATAATATTACGAAAGAAGAATCATCAACACTACATCCATTCTTGAGAATAATAAAATTTTAATCACTACAAATAAATTTTAATGAATCTTTTCTCATAGTCAGAGAGAGAGAGAGAGAGAGTTCCTCTCTCTTTAGACTGAAAAAGTTGTTTCTTATGATAGAATACAAACTTGCGGAAGGTATGCCGCATCGAAATTAAAATAGACTAGATTGCTGTTACTTACAAAATCTAACTCAACATGGTAGTTTTATCTTTCTATTTCGAGCAACCCACGACCAGAACAAACCTTCCTATGTGAATGAATTGTGCAATTGCAATTCAAGTAATTACCGATGCCTGGCATATATGCCTATTTGATGATGAATTATGTCATTCTGTTCATTGGGATTCTTTCCCCTTGCCGAGCAACTCTTTCAATAGGAGAAATGATTTGAGGCATTGTCATTCCTCCAGAAACAATGATCTCTGCGTCATTGCCAAACAGCACGAGTACAAAGAAAGGTAAAAAGCCATATCAAAGCATTTTACAATATATATTCCATATCAAAGCATTTTACAATATATATTCCATATCAAAGCATTTTACAATATATATTTCATCACTGCTAGACGCAAATACATATTATTAAGCAATTTTATCATATTTTGAGAACAACATCAAAAGTTTCTATATTTGATAAACCACAATCAGCTAGGTTGATGACAAATCAGGAGAAATTAATGTAGTTTTCCTAGCCCAGATATTTTATTGGTTTTTACTGGCATATATTTCACCTTTATCAGAAGAAAGAATTTACAAACACACACGGTATATATATGTATATATGTATGAAGAGTATGTGTATATATATATATGAGGAATTCAAAAACCTAAATTGGGAATAAAGTTTACTTTTTTCTCTGTCTCTCTCTCTAGATACAAGTTTCCTTTTTGCAATATTAAAGCAATAATATCAATTAGCAAAGCAAAAATATTCTTAGCAATAAGATAGAACATACCTATGCCTTCTCGAATTGACAAATTTGGCCTTATAATATCTTTGGAATTAACAAGGAATATATCACCAATATACAGATGGTTTGTTGGTACAAATATACTACATAGCTCTTCATCTTCGTCATCTTTCTGCAGTAGACAAAATAGTTAAAGAAAAGTCAGAGATACAAGAGAAAAAGGGAAAAAGTGAGAAACAACTGCCCTAGTTCTATCCATAAGAATAAAGGACAAAATGGAATCCATATAGGAGCCAAACAACAAGTAACTATTATGGTCATCCCAGACGAACCATACTTACTTATTCTGAACGATCACAACCAAGAGTTTCTTACACTATAAAGTTTATACTACCAGCCTCAAACACTAGAAAGCAAGAAAACATGCTAGTATCAACAAGCAATAGGGCTAAAATAAAAGGCATGATCCTCATGATAAGTTTGGATAAAAATGAACAACTTCAAGAAAAAATATCTATTTAGAAATCAATATTTCAATTAGAAGATCATGAACTTTCGTGAATAATGATAAAGAAAACTTTTGTGAAATTTTAAGTAGAACTAAAACAATATATTTCAAATTCTACTGATTCGATGGAATTCGAAATGGTACTATTTTAATTTCACATAAATTTCTCTAGTAGCTCAATTTTCATTATTCTGGAAAAGACTTTCATCATATAGAATACATTTTTTTAAGATGAAAAAAGTTAATATATAAAAAAAACACCATGGGGATGTAAGCCGTTTACATATAGAATCTTATATTATGTTAATTTCTAAAAATTTTCAATTTTATTTTAAAATGATTTCCACCTAAAAGATTTTCATCATTCTGTAAAAGACTTTCATCTTACAGAATATATTTATATTATGTTAAGTTACTAACAATTTTCTGATGCACTCTACCCTTGAGAGAGCTGTTTATGTAGGCAAGAGGATGCGTCATTCTATTAGGCATGTCTTTCGGGTACAACAGAATAAAACAGAAAGAAAAAAGAGTTTTTTGAAATACAAAACCACCCCTCCCCCCCCCCCCCCCAATTCCCTCACACTTATTTCCCATTTTTCCCTTCTTCCTTTAATACATTTTCAACGCCTTCCTCATTGTACCTGCCCCTAGAATGGCAATCTCATCCTCAATGTTGAGATCTGGAAATTATTTACAAATATATTCAGTCTTTCCAAGTGCAGACATCCTGTGAAGTTCCTCCCATGATATGAGGACTCATTCCAATTTTGTGATCACTGGGAAGAAGAATGGTTCTGTGTTAGAGCACTTTCTCAAGTTGGACACTAATTACACCATCCCAACTGTTTCTTAGTATATCTTCCACCCTAACGTCGTCACCAGTAATGTACTTCTTTAACTGAGAGACGTGTGCGTGGATACACGAGGATGTGAGCAATTTGAGCCTATATGCTACTAGTCCTACCTTTTGCACAACTTCAAGAGGACCACAGAACCTTGGGGACAGTTTGGAACTTTCACCCTTTTGGATCGACCATTGCCTGAAGTTGGAGCTTGAGTAGCATAAGATCGTGGTCTTCAAAACTCCTTTCACTATATGAGCATCGAAAAAATGTTTGATACAGAGTTGTGGACTAAACAGGTGTTGTTTAATTACCCAATTAGTTTTATCTCTTTCTGATATGAATCTTTCACTTGATTGCGCGGGTGAGTGTGGATCAATGATGTCCTAGAAATAGGGAAGAGTATAACTGTATAAAGCTTGAAAGGGAGTCATTTTCAAACTATAGAAAGTGTTATATCACCATCCAATAGCCACCAGCCATTTTGTCCATTTTTTAGGTTGTTGATGGACCATATACCTAAGATACATTTCTAGACATCGGTTTAGTCTCTCCGTTTGGCTCTCCGTCTGTGGATGGTAAATGGAACTGAGATGCAAGATTGTACCCACGACTTTCGTCAACTCTCTCCAAAAAGGGCTGGTGAATACTTTATCCCTATTAGAGACCAAGATCTGTGGAACTCCATAGAACTGGTGGATGGTATTCATGTATAGTCGAGCAATCCCTTGAGCTATAAAAGGGTGGTGCAGTAATATGAAATTACCGCATTTAGTGAAGCTGTCTACTACCACCAGTATGTTATCCTTGGCTTCTGACCTTGGAAGTTACTCGATGAAATGCAGAGACACATGAATCTCTATGCTTGAGATGCAACTAGTAGAGGTTACAGGAGACTGGGTAGAAAAACCTTCCCTGTTTTACAATATTGGCATGTCACAATGTTGAATCCATTTAATAATCTGGTGTTTCATACCCAAGTAGTAGAAGTGTTGCTTTGCACATTCGTAGGTGCCTTAACTCCCAAGTGGCCTCCTAAAGCTAAATTATGGCATTGGTACAACAATCTGGCTTTCAATTCGTTGTTATCTCCAATCACCAACCTGCCCTTGACATAGACTAAATAAAGGTTGCAGGAGACAGAGTAGCAAAAACCTTCCATGTTTTACAATATTGGCACATGTCACAATGTTGAATCCATTTACTAATCTGGTGTTTCATACCCAACCAGTTGAAGTGTTGCTTTGCACATTAATAGGTGCCTTAATTCCCAAGTAATCTCCTACAGCTGAATTGTGGCATTGATACAACAGTCTGGCTTTCAGCTCGTCATTATCTCCAATCACCAACCTGCCTTTGTAACAGAAAATCCCTTGATGTAGACTAAATATAGGTCTGCTACCAGGGGATATTAGTAGTTCCTCAAGTAGTGGCTAAAGAAATGAGAAACTGATGTAGTTGTTGAGTACTTAGGAAATCCATGTCAGAGTCCTTTTGGTGACATTGTACAGGGCCTATGCTTCAGTCATCCCTCTTTTTTTTTTTTTTTGAAAGGCATATATCGCGTAATTGGTCGATCCCTGCTAATACTAAATGGTGTAGTTCAATCCTACCAACTTCACTATTCCTTTCTATTGGACCATGGAGGATGCTCCCTGATCTAGGGGATACCTGAGGCTTCTTTAGTCTGTTCTGATGACCAATTGAGTCCCCTCCAAATGATGATGCCATTGACTCACTGCATATAACACTGCCAGGAGCTCATCTCATAACAAATTTTGATTGACTCCGGAAACTCAATGCCTTACTAATGAAGGCTATGGGGTCTTTTTTCTTGCATTATAACACTTCAATACTCTTGTAATTGGCATCAGTCTCCACTGTAAAAGGACTCCAATTTCACAGGTGCAACGGTGGACTAGAGGTCATG